AGCTCCAAGGCTAATAGAAGAACTTGATAAACCTTTAAAGGACAGCACCAGCAGAATATTTTTCACTCTCATTTCTTCAGGGCTCTTTTTACATGAAATCGTCTTCGAGTTCTTGAATAGACTTGTTGCTTGAAGCAATGTCTTTGTTGGATGTCATTTTGTCAGTTACCATTAATCCCTTGTAACTCCTCATATCTGCTTGCCTCTCCTTCTCAAGCCTCTCTATGTCTTCACGTTTCTTCTGCAATACCACATAAAACACAACGAGGATTTGAGTCAAATTCCTGATCAACTGACTTTCCACAGATTAAGAAGATGACAAGGACCAAAACAGAAACTGACCTTCTCCCTCAGGTGTTGCTTCCTCTCAGCTCTTTCTGCAGCGTTCACTGCTTCTCTCTCAGCTTCATTATGAAACAGCCATACAAATTAATAGATTTTAAAGTTATACCAACTGAAAAGCTATAATCACCTAAATGAAACTTCATATGCAAGAAGAGAAAGATGTATGGATAATCTCTATCTATTAAGGAAGTGCCCAGAAACCAAAAGACTTACCTCTCAAATCAGGGGTTCTCTCAACTTTTGTTTTGTTCAATCTGTTAATTATGTCATTGACTCGCTTCTCCACTCTGATAGTCCGGACCTTAAAGAAACACAAATATCAATTAGGTAACATCATTGAGCACTTTCATGTATACATAATACAAAAAAGAATCCAGTAGAGAGACAAAGAAGCTTACCATCTTTGAATTGTGGAAACCAACTTGTCCAACATCCATGGAAGCAGTCTTCTTCAAATTAGACCAAGGAGTGTACACAACATCTACGTTGTTCACCTTGTTTCCTGGCACACATAATCACAGACACAAATCGTTAAGAAAAACAGTATATACCCTAACTGAGAAATGGGAACAGCAATTTAATAAATCTTAAGTTCACTTATAGTTACAAAACGGGCTTCAGATAATTAGTACCTTGAATGGAGTTAGCTTTAACAAGCTGAGCACAATCCTCCAGCACACCTTCATTAATATCATCAAAGCCTTGGCCTTTATGTAGCCTCAAGTAAACGTGAGCTGACGACATCTTATCAACGTGAAACCTGCATCACATGAAAACCATATATACTCTTCCCCAAATCAATCTACAATAGATCATTGACACATCTGATCATAAACAAGGGGATATAATCAAACCAACTATATTAACACCGGGAACAATCGATGATCGGTAAGAAAATAAAGAATATTATCGCTTACCAGACGTCTTCGGGGAAGCCGTACTTGATGAGCTCCTCGTTCTCGAACTTATCGAGTCCCATGAAGATGGTGTAGTCCCCAGCATCTGGTCGGGCCTTGAAGTAGAACACCATCGCCTTCGATTTGAGAAACGAATGGAGATAGAATCTAGGGTTTCCCCCTCTCTCACTTCCCTATCTCCTCTCTCTTCCCTACAAGTTACGACAATGAAGAAACCGTAACCAAGAGAATATAAAACACGAAAAGCAATTTGTTCCTCCGTTTGTCTTAATAATAAATAAATTTCCAGAATCAACCTTTATTTTTGTAAATATAACGAATGAGGCCCATAACTTTTTTATTTCATTTTATTCAGCCTTGTAACAGTATTATTGCATTTTACAACCAAACGTAGAGAGATCGAATCCAGCGAACTCTATTTTATGATACACGAGTTTTTTACGGCATGCCAAACTTGGACAAGGCTGTTTCAAATAAGGTTGTGAATGGCTGAGACGTATCCTGCTCGTCTGCTTTTACTTTTATATGAGCCTTGGCTGATGAAGAGTTTATGACACACTCGGTGAGATAGTTTGATGATGGTTCGGATTCGTTTTGAGCACAGAAGAAGAACTTGAGGTTTGGAGATTGACCACCCGATGCGATACAGTGGATGGAATGACTCTGCATGTGTTTGATAAGTGATTGTGGAGCTGTCAAGGCCGCTATTCCCTGGGGATTCACAGAACACTCCTGCAAGTAACGAAGTTAAAATCTCTCACCACTCAAAATCCACAAGAAATTACAGCATGTTGAATAAAATGTAGACAATGGTTTCAGGAATAGGACAACAAGGTGAAAGTTGGGGGGGAAAGTAAACCTGTGTTAGTGATATCGGCAATTGGCGTCATTTCTGTTGGAAGGCGCCTGGATCTAGAGCAGCTCTTGGGTTAAGTTTTAAAAGAGGCGGTGATGGTGTTGGAGTAGGAGCTGCTGATAAACCCAAACCAAAGAGATCGTCAAGATCAAAGCTAGATTGTGGGGTAGTTGCGGATGTGGCGGGGCCGGAGATTGCAAGTTCTTGCATTTGTGAGGATATATTAGAGTTATCATATGCAGGGGCAGTGTAAGCAGAACCATTATTGGAAACTCCTTTGTTGTCATCCTTCTCGTCAGTACTCAGAAGCAGGTCCTTGTCATTTGCCTCAAATTGCTGAGCTGGAACAATGTCACTGGAGGCTTCAGGTGTGATGGGCATGTTTCCAATTTCGTCTGAAAACTCAAAGGGGCCTCGGTGTTCCTTATCTGTGAACATGTAAGATGGCTGCCAGAAATTTTTATGTTACTACTATGAAGGCAACTAAAGAAGACCTCTGAATGATATAAGGCTAATGCATGCATACTACTACTAATACAATATTGGGTTTGACAGTAAATTGAGAAAACATACCTTCTGGTAGAGCACAGAAAGGCTGTTGAACTCGTCAAATATACGGTCTTTGATCACTGCTTTGAGTGTCATCAAAGACTGAAACCGCCTGTTTTGGAGGACTAACAACACGTTCTGCCACATGTACGTCGTATTGTAGAACCCGATAGTAGAACAAGGCTCGATCGTGAACATCCTACTCCAACAGTTAATGTTGAATAAGTGGTTTAAACGGGCCAGTAGTTTCAACACAAGAGAAATTTGGCAGGGGAAGATTGGTTGATACCTGGTGAAAGTCAGCAATCCCTGCAGCTAGAGCTATTCCCAGGGCTTTCTGAGTCTCAGGTGGCCTCTTAAAAAAGCATTTCATTGCTGCAGTTAGGAGATGCAACCTAACCTGCTCAACGAGACAATTTATTCATTAGAAGAATGTGCAAGTCCTCTCTCACGCAAACATGAGACCATAGTACCAGTAAATCCTAGTATCATAGAAAAGCAGAAGTGGTGCCAAAAATACCTCAGCCGAATGCTCTTCCTCCCAGTTTTCTATCAGATTCTCCAAAACATAAGGAGCATCACTCATATCCTGAGCATATTCACCCAACATCCATATAAGAGCTGACTTGGCTTTTGGTTCCTGGATGTTTTTGCTGCTGATACCGCCAACAACAGATTGCAATCATGGCTCCATTGCGGATACTTCCTTAGAAGGTCCTTCACAAGAACCTATCGGAAGAGCCAGAGAAGTGGATTCATTACAAAAAGCAAAAATATGATGGCTGATTATCCCGGTGAATAGTATGTATTATCCTTACCAAAGTTTCAGCAGTGACGTAGTCCTTTTCCATCTCCAGAAATTGAAGAAGTCTATCAACGATAGCATTAACATCATACTGCTGCAAAGCAATCTTTCCAATTGCTCGAATTGATTCCCTTGCAATTGCAATATCAACGTTTGCAGCATACTCGCATAGTTCCGTCACTGCATGGACAGAAAATCACGAAACAGTTGAAGAGCCTGAAAAGAAAGACTTTACCATTTCAAATTCCAAATTAACATTATATGAAACAATACCAATTTCGTAAGTGTTGCTCTCATTTGCAACAGCAGTCAACATCTCAAGCTTTAACTTTTTGACATATGAGGGTTCATTGTACTGGCAGTAGAAATGCTTATAGTCTGAGGCAAAGATGAATGGCGCACGGACAACCAAAAGATGAAGGTGGCTCAAGATTGCATACGACTGCTCTGGACTTCCAGAACTGACAAGAGTCAGAAGTGGGGATTTAATACGCTCATATACCTGTACAAGATCATTTGACATCAGTGATCACGATCAACAATAAAAAAACCTGGTCAAGTTTTCTAACAGTGATTACTTTTTTTTTGCAAGAAATTAAAATATAATTTTCAAGCTTTCAGAAAACGTCACCAAAAGTAATATCATTCTCACTTTTTTGAACAGTTCACAAAAATTATCATTATAAAAGGCCACACAAAACTAATTTCATCAGGAATATCTTTACATGATAAGAACAACGGAGGTGGACTTTGTACCTGTTGATGAACATCAGTCATGGAGAGTGTTAACTGCAGAAATACTTTGACTGTCGCCAAGACAACAGCCCCATTGGCATGCTGAAGCCTATCTTCCAACAGATTCATAATATCAAAAATATCATTACCATCTGACGGCACATATTTTACAGCCAACTCAAGTATAAGACATTGCGCCCATTCACTGAATTCCTTGATCCTGCAATGAAACACCACAATGGTGAAATTTTCTTTTCCCTTCGTAGATACCACAACAACAATAAGGTATTGTGATTGAAGGTTGTAGGAGGAGCTTAAGGACATACCGATTCAAGAAATAATAAATAACTGGTTTGCTAAGCAAGGATTCTTTCTCCCTGCATGCTTCCTCAGAATGGCTTGCTTCTAAACTCCAAATTTCTTGAAGTGCAGACAAGCAATTAACAACTACCTAGCAGCATATTTTACATCAAAAACATACTAATCACTCTTACGTCCAAATGGATTCATATCTCCATACAAAAAAAAATCAACCTGAGCATCTGAATCATGAAGCATCAAACTCTTCAGCATAGCAGGAAAATCAGCATCAATACAAGTCGAAGCCGAGATATGATACAGTTTTAGCACTCCAGTCACAGCAATTGTTCTCACATAGCTACTATTATCCTTTAACCCACTCCCTAAGGGACCAACAAGATACTTCCACAAGATTCGGCACACGTAACGAACACAAACTCCTCAAAGCAAGCCCACGGATCATAGGATCCTGATCTTTGCAATCCCTTTGGAGAAAATTGATCGTGAGCAGGGAAAGGTCAGGATTACCCTTGGCATAGTTACCAACGTAAAGATAACACATCTTCTTCAAGACGATGTCTGACGTGGCAGAGCACATGCCCATCTCTCCGAATACAGATGAGACGTCGATGCCGATAGTCATGTAAGATATTACTTTCTTGAAGAGGTCTCGCTTTGAATCATCGACTCCTGGAGCTCTGCTTCCAGCTAGCTGACGTAGCTGTGATTTCAGATCTGTTACTTCGCTTTTCCTGATAGAGATTAAATTACAGTTTCAGTTTCAGATCATCATAAATACACAGTGGAAATAGATTCGCTACAATGGAGATTCTTAGTTTCTGGATTTAGTATAGAGGCAATGCAGATGATGTAACTGAAGAGCTAAGGAGCTGATCGATCACGCATGAAAAGAGATGATCGAATCATTAAATTGATAGCTAGCTTATAGGCTATAGCTTAAGAGTGTAAGGTAACGTTACAGCGACATTGATCGAGAGAGATGAGTATGAGTTACCCTGAAGGTTGAGACGGTGAAGATCACGAGATGAATTTTTAACGCCGTGAGAATCCGGCGGAGAACAGATCACCAGATGTCGACGATTGGAGAGGGGTTCCACTGAGGTCAGGAGCTGGAGCTGCTAAATTTGGGAGAGATGATGGTTCACTGCAGTGCCGTCCCTAATCATTTGGTGGCAGGCCCGGCTTAGAATATACCCCTAGTGAAAAATATTTCTTGCAATTTTAGCACACTACTATTCTAAATTTTGGAAAACAAAATCCTAAATTATGTGTTTATTACAAAATAGAGCCCTAACTTCTTAGGTAAAAAAATTAATGTGAGCTTGGACAACTATTAATGTGAGCTTGGACAACTAGATGAAGATTGTTTTTCTGACATCGCAATAACACATTTTATATGTACTCTGAAACCAAAAATGTTTGTAAAACCAGTTTTAATATCTGAGTTTGTTCATATCTCAAATTAATAAAATTCATACATGTGTTAACAAGAATGTTTTGAATTATTAATATTGATAAGATATATCATTATAATCATTTTCAAAAAATTATTTATTTATTTTAACTAATTAATTATGGAAATCTCTAAAAAAATTGTTGGATTTATATTATATTACAAAAAAATTAAATTAAAATATACATGTCCTTTCAAAAGACGGATTAGAATCTAGCATAAAAAATTATACATGCATCTCCTCATTTTGTAAACTTTATCTTATTAAAATTTCAAATGATGTAATCTATATATCTTATGAACATTTCAAATGATATTATAACTAATCAAAAACATCTACTAAATATATATTTTTAACTAGATTTATCAGTTTAACCGCGGGTCTAAATCGAGTATAAAAATAATACTTATATATAATTTGTCTATACTCCATATTTATATCCCACTAAAAAAATTTAATGTGTAGTGTCAAATGACTACATCATCGATGTATAGCTACGCAACATCAAAAATTTAATATAATTATCAAAGTCTCTTACTAATAATTTTAGAAAAATATTTTACAGAAATATGATTACAAAGATAAACACATATTAAATCTCTAAAAAATGTAAAACAAAAAGTTATACCCATCCTTTTAAAGACGAGTCAAAATCTAGTATATTCTATTAATTTTGCAGCATGACATCTACTATGATTAAAAGTTGGTAATAGAGCCAAATTAGGCTGTCCACGTGGGCAGAAATAATCTGCCAATCAGGAGGCTTTATTTTGCCACGTCAACCTGGTTTGTGACAGATAAATCAGAAAACCAATTGATTCGGTCTGGTTTGGTTTATTACCGCGTACGGTTTTATTTCGGTCCGAGATTCTCTCCCTCCTTNACATCTACTATGATTAAAAGTTGGTAATAGAGCCAAATTAGGCTGTCCACGTGGGCAGAAATAATCTGCCAATCAGGAGGCTTTATTTTGCCACGTCAACCTGGTTTGTGACAGATAAATCAGAAAACCAATTGATTCGGTCTGGTTTGGTTTATTACCGCGTACGGTTTTATTTCGGTCCGAGATTCTCTCCCTCCTTCTCCTTTCGACTTCCTCACCTCCGATCTCTTCTATTCCGTTTTCCTTCAGTTCATCTCATTCAATGGGTTTCTCCCTTCACCTCCCTCCCCAAGATTGTATTTATAGATCTCCCCTCTTTGCTTTTGTTCTCCTTCCGATTAAACCAAACCAGATCCTCTACTCTCCCTCTTGCCGATGGAACCAAAGCGATATCTTCAGTCGTTGCCGGCGAGAAGACCAAGAAAAAGATTCTCTCATCCTCCGCCATCGACGACGATGATCGTCCAAGAGCAGCAAAGAAGCGATAAAACTCTCGTTCTAGCACAAATCAACTAAGAAATAGAGTTCCTCTGTTTCCTTAATTCTCAAAAAAGTAGGTAACCTTCATAGAAACATGAACACTGCGATTCCCAACGGATGGAGAGCTTCCGTGACTTCACAAGGACCAAGAAAGTTCCTGTCTTTACTCAGATCTTACCCTAACGCAATCCCCAGGTCTTTAGACTCTGTTTAAATGTCAAAGTTTTCTCCTTTTTTCTATATTAGTGATTTGATTTGAGGAAGTGCTCTGTTTTCAGGGAGAGAACCATTTGCGTAGTTATGGTCGTAGAGCAATGGTAATTTCAAGTTCAAAGAAAGCGAACCTCTCTGCTTATAGGAAACAGAGAATCAAGCTAAACAGTAATGAAGAAAAGGAGCTCACTTTCAGTGAGTTCTTGAAACACCCTTCTGGCATTGAGGCTGTTATCAACGCGAAAGCTTTGGAGAGTTATCAGTTAGTTGATGATGATGACAATACTTACAGGTTCTTTCTTTAAGTAACCTACAAGTTTCTCTTTTTGTTCATGTTTCAGCAAGGCTTTGTTTGGCATAAAGGTTTCTTTGCATGTGTGTTTGTAGCCTCTTCGTTTTTTTTATGTTTAAATAGGCAATGTTGTATATGTAAGCAGAAATATCTAAAGAGTGTATCTTTAGACAGATAGTAAATGTAGTAAGTGGATAATATATAGTAAACTTAGTGTTCTTTTATGTAGATAATAATGTTCTAAAATTCGGTGTACTTGCTTGTCTTCTATTGTGCACCTAACTACCGTTCTCGAATATTAGTATATGTAATATGTTAGCTGAGTTATATGGAAAGTATGTTTATATGTGAGGAAGGGAGTTGGTAAAACTTTATGTTACAGTGCAGATGTACATTGCCAAAAATTCAGTTACTGAGCTTTGAAGTTTCTCCAGTACTGGTTTTGAGGGGTCGTTCCCACACATGAAGATTGTACAGTTGAGCTGCTTTCCTGCAAGGTTGAGTAAAAAAAATTCATTATGTTGTTATCTATATCTTTACCGACTTATGTTTTGAATTTTTGATCTTCTGTCTTGAAAGTTGGAAGGATCAGAGTTATTGGAGAACCAAAGTGAAAGGTTTTCAGGTAAACAAAGCATTTGAAAGTACCACTGCTCGAGTCTGAGGTTTCTGAACTTGATATATATGATTTTTCCCTTTTTGGCTGGCAGCGGTTATGACAAACTGCATGACCTGGAACATGGAAGATCCAGAGCCGTTTTGGAGGTTGATGTGAGCTTCAAAGAGGCAAAAGATTATGGGCTTATAGATGGTGTCATCATGGACCCTCTTAAAGCTCTTCAGCCACTTGCAGCAGTTTAAGAGTCTGAAGGTAATAAAGTTCAGCTTAGCACTTTTAGTGGGTGGCTCTTTTATGAACTGATGGAAATCATCAGTAGTAGTTTTGATACATTTATCAAGAACAAAGTAAAGTTTTCTTGCTGTTTGGTTGAATATACTGCCCTCAAGAAATGTTTTGACCCTTTGTAACCGAATCATTGGCCCATTAATTTTGAATTTATGCATTTTAGGTTGTGTAATATATTCACATAGCGTTGCATTGGGTCGTTTCGATTAGGTAGTGCTAGGATATGACACGGTTCTGCAACTTAATAGGTTACTAGAAAATTATTATGTTATGCTTCCGTGATCTGAGCAAATCATTTTGGTTAAATAAATGGCTTTGGCATGATCTGAGGTTTCTGAAAAACGATAGTAAAGGATTTTTTATATTCATGTGTAGGATTTTTTAAGCAACTTCCAAGGCACAAGATTTACAAAGATGGTCATGCCTTTTTCATCTGATATTGGTATGGTTACACTCTAGCATAATATTGTTCTGTTTTTCGTTTTATATTTGTTTAACATGCTCTGGAACCCACATGTAGTTAGCCAAGTGACCCTTTATAACTGCACTATTCATATTTGGATAATTGATACATCTCAGCTAACCGAAAATATTCATTGCATTTATGATTCATACTTTTATGAAATGTCTGACTTAATTGTGTTTTGGTCTTTATGCTATTGTTAGCGTAATTTATGTTTGCCTTTTGATAGACTTTTTGTATTTGTTATTGAAAGAGATGTTGAAGCCGTTTTGTCTCACATGGGTGAATCAATGACCTATGGAACCCTAGCAAACTCTCTGAAAAGTATGTTTTTATTTACTTTGTCATCTTCTCGTTTCTTTCCAGTGCATGTAGCATATGTATCTAATAATATTCTATTTTTGGTGCTTCTGGTATTGTGTTTACATAACCTGGTGATAGAGTAGAGGCTGAGGAGGCTATTTCACAAATTGAAATTGACAAGGTGTTGAATAATTACTTGCTTTACTCTCTCTTATGTTCTTTCATTTTGTTCCTGTACATGTTTAATGTTTTTCACGTTGCTGGTGTAGTTTTATAACTTGGATTTTATTCTTCTATGTGCTTTAGGTGACGGTAGATATTGCTAGACCAGCAAGTGGTGCGATCCAAGATGTTAAATATTTATGTTTTTCTTAAGTTCCTATGGTTCTTCTCTTGTGTTCCTATGCCAAATTGATTTTATCATTTACGCATTTTTTTGTCAAGGAAGGAACAAGAGGTGTAGTTAAATGGAGAAGAGATAGATTAATACAAGAAAGAAAAGAATATAAGTTATGTTAGATATTTTTGATTAGGAAAAAATCAGCTAAATGACAAAAATCTAAATATAGTACGTTACAATTTTCGTAAGAATTAAACTACTAAATATCTTTCCCCAGTCTTTCCCCAGTGAGTTCTGACCTACAACAGTATCTATACATGTTAAGAGAACATTTCATTTGATAATATTGGAAATCAGTGTTACTGTGACATACATCCAAGAACCTTTCCTTTACAAAAAACTTTGCAGCCGTCAAAAAAAAAAAATTATAATGCAAAAATTCAGGTCGATATAGTCTTCAAAAAAAAATTATGGTCGTCAAGAACAAATCAAACTAGATAATGATTTTCATAATTTTATAAAAAAATCTCTATGATGGCACTAAAAAAAGTTTGATCACAAATATAAAAATAATCAAAAATATTTTATTAAAAAGATAAATGAAAGTTTATATATATATAGATCAACTAATATAGAATTGGAGTTTAGATTTATTGGATGGTGTTGAGAGAAGGGTCGAATTTATTATTTCAAAAAGAAAAAATAAAGAAAAAAGATCGAATTCAAAAATATATTATTCAAAAATAATAAATTTATTATTTATTTAAATAATTATTTATATTTATATATCTATAAAGCCATGATAGAAATGTTACCTTCTTATGAAACATATTTTAATCATTTTTGTGTGTTCTTTCGATAAAAAAAACCTATTTTAGTAGAATTTCTCAATTTTAATCCATTTTATCGCTAAAATATAGATAACTAAATTTATAATTAAAAGTANATAAATTTATTATTTATTTAAATAATTATTTATATTTATATATCTATAAAGCCATGATAGAAATGTTACCTTCTTATGAAACATATTTTAATCATTTTTGTGTGTTCTTTCGATAAAAAAAACCTATTTTAGTAGAATTTCTCAATTTTAATCCATTTTATCGCTAAAATATAGATAACTAAATTTATAATTAAAAGTAGGGAAATTGACTCAAATGACTCAAATTAATTGAGAAAATACTAGAATAACCCATAAAAGTTTTAAATTACTTAGGAAAATTTTGGGTCGAAACTGCCCATAATCACAGTTATGACAAAAATGCTATATTACGAAAGTGCCATTGGTATATTTTGACAAACCGCCGATGGCAGATTTATTTAACGAAAAACAAATCGATCGGAATATAAGTCTGCTCTTAAAACCTATTGTACAATTTATATCTACCATGTATTTGGCGGCAGACTTTTGTGCCATGTTAGACTTTTTAACGACGTAAGATTTATGTAACCGATTGAAGGTTGTCGATAGATTTTTCAATTTTAGTCTGTCGAATGTAGCAACCGATTTAGTTGAGATCGTCAGTTTTATTTGGATTAGATAAAGTTTTCATATAGATATGTTAAGCGGTAATAGACTTATTTTCCTTCAACAGATTTGTATAACCAACTTAAATATGCGGTCGACTTTTGTTTTCCTTTGATGACAGACTTTTTAAATTGTCATCTTTAACGGTAGACTTGTTGAAAAAATTAATTACCAGAGTGGGACAAACCGAATTTCTTGCTACAATTCACCCATAATCCGAGTTAAGTAAAGTGAATTCCGGTTTAGATTAACTTAATTCGGTTTTAAATTATTTTTCAATTTGGATTAATTTTGTTTTCGGTTTAAGTTAATTTAAACCAATTATAAGCCTAAATATTTAGGTTAAAAGTGAGACCACGTTTTCAATTAATGTTTTACCTCCTCTGTCGTCTTCTTCCTGTCCTTTCTTTGAACAACACGTGTGTTCTTCTTTCATGGTGATTTAAAACTGCACCTTGCATATTGAGTGAAGAATATGGAACACATAATTCTCGTTTCTGGAAAGTGGAAAGTTGTGAAAACTAAGTGGTTATTTGAAGTAGATAATGAGCGAGGTAGCATATTGGTTGATGCCAATGAGAACACTCGATTTGAAGATTTTGTGACAATCATACGTGAGGAGTACGGAATTGATGTTGCAGAAAAAGCTTTGGAACTGAGGTACTTGTTGCCGAAGCAGAATCTACACAAACAAAGCATCGATACACCACCTGTGAAAATAGGAACTGATAGGCAGTTGCATACGTTTTTGGGACTCTGCAAAGTTGAGAACATTCGACTATGTGTGGAGTTTAAAGAGATCAAACATCCAAACGAAGGGGCTGGCGAAGATCAGAAGCAACCCTTACAAGGAGATGAGCCGTTGGGTGAAGAAGAAGAAGAAACAGACGAAGAAAGCGATCGATTTGATTACTGTGATGATTCAGATGGAGCAACATCGGATGATGAAGACTTTACTTCATACGGGATTCCACCAGACTATGTAGAAGAGGTTCATGGATCTTCTACAAATATGATTTATGCAAGAGACCCCAAGTCACAGGAAAGAGAGGCGCCAATTAGTATGTTGGAGTTGCGCTCATTCAAATTTGACGTGGGACAAGTTTTCGAGTCCAAAGATGCATTGGAGACACGTCTGAAGATATGTTCAGTTGTCCACAAATTCGATTTTGATGTGGATAAATCTACTACGAAGCTATATCGTGTAAAATGCTGGATAGAAGGTTGTACGTGGAAGCTTAGAGCCTCGCCAGTAGATGAATCTCCAAAATTTACAATCCGAGTTTATGTAGATGAACATACCTGCTCCGTAACAGAACGTTCATCTCGTTCCCGACAAGCTACTCCTGAGATTCTTGGACGTTTGTACAAGGACTATGTTGGTGGGGTTGGTCCATCTATTTTGCCTACTCATGTTTCTACTGCCATGAATCTGAGCTTTGGAACCAAGGTCGACTACATTTGCACATCAATATGATTTGTTTCCTAACCTTTACTCCTTTTTAATGGGGTCATTGTGTATTTTATATTGTAGATGGATTACTGGAAAGCTCGTCGTACACTTATAGCTGCAAGAGATCTCGTACTAGGTTCTTCAGAGAGCGGCTACCAGGAATTACCTATTTACCTGCACATGATTAAGATGTCAAATCCAGGAACTTTTACCCAACTAGAAGTTGATACGAACAACAGATTTAAGTACTTGTTCCTTGCATTCAACGCTAGCATTACTGGATTTCCATTTATGAGGAAGGTTGTGGTGGTTGATGGAACGTTTTTGCAAGGGAAATACAAAGGAACACTTCTGATTGCAACATCACAAGATGGTAATTTTCAAATATTTCCAATTGCGTTTGCTGTGGTTGACACAGAGAATGATGAATCGTGGACATGGTTTTTCCGCCAACTCAGCCGTGTGATACCAGATGATGAAGGATTGGCGTTGATCTCTGACAGACACAAGTCAATAGGGAAAGCTATTGCAGTGGTCTATCCATTGGCAAGCAGGGGAATTTGCACGTACCACTTATATAAAAATATCTTGTTACGGTACAGAGGGCGTGATTTGTTTGGATTGGTAAAAAAAGCCGCATACTCTTTTAGGGTAAGTGACTTTCAAGCAACATTTGAAACAATCAAAGAGTCAAATCCAGCTCTTCATGCATATCTGGAACGTGCTGATGTAACTAAGTGGGCACGAGCTCATTTTAGAGGTAATAGATATAACCTCCTTACAAGTAACATTGCTGAATCCATAAACAGAGCTTTGTCGGGTGCCAGAAGCTTGCCAATTGTTCACCTTTTAGAGTCAATCCGATTAATGATGACAAGGTGGTTTGCAACAAGAAAACATGATGCTGAGTTGATGAAAACCTCTCTTACTCGTGGTGTAGAGAAGGTGTTGGAGGTAATATATATTCAATCAGGTTATGTGTTTCTGTAGACTGCTCGCTAATATACTTGTGATTTCATATTTGCAGGGCCGGATACCTATTGCTAACCAACTAAAAGTTCAAGCAATAGACATTCATCAATCACAAGTTACAGGAGTCTCGTCTTTACATGTTGTAAACCTGACCGAGAAAACATGTTCTTGCCGTAGATTTGATTTGGAAAAACTACCATGTGTTCATGCCATAGCTGCTGCGGAAGCTAGAAAGATATCACGTATATCACTGTGTCACCATTACTATCGGAGGCAATACCTTTACAACGCATATTTCACTCCTGTTATGCCGAAAGATGATGCTGTTCTAGTTCCAGAAGAACTTGTAAAGAAGATCTGCTTACCACCTGATGTCAAACAACCACCGGGAAGACCAAAAAAATCCAGACATAAATCTATTTTGGAGAAAGTTGCAGAGAAAAAGCGGCCAAGGAAGGAACACACATGTAGAATTTGTAACCAAGTGGGACACAATTCGACTACATGTCCTCATAAGTGATGAGTATTTGTTTTAGTTTGTGGATTTGTTCTTCGGATTTCGTTTTGGTTGGTGCCATATTTGTTGCCATACTCTTTTATTTTTTTATTACCTTTAGACATTGATTTTTCATTTTGTTTGGTACATCCGTTTTAAACCATCTCTGAAGATCATGAGAACAACATGATAATTTACATCCAACATCAATAAACCAAAAACATTCATTTGATACACACATCTGTTTAAAGCATAGAACCTAAACCATCCAACATCTATAAACCAAATAGCATAAGTTATACATCCGTCTACAACCAAAAACCATCAAGTCATACATCCGTCTAAAACCAAAAACCATCAAGTCATACATCCGTCTAAAACCAAAAACCATCAAGTCATACATCCATCTAAAACCAAAAAACCATCAAGTCATACATCAGTCATACTCCTCTCTCTCAATCACCTCCTCATAAATATCAGCCGCCAACTTCAGTCGCAATGGTGTCATAATCTGATCACTCAAGCCATCAAAGTTACATCCAAGAGCTAGACACTCCATGTACTTTAAAGAGTACACACCACAATCTCCCGGGTTTTCATTTTTAGGGATCTTCTTGTGCCTACGGAAAGTGAGCTGTTGAGTACTTTTCTTCCTCAAATTTGGAGGCATCATCTTGTTAAGCACTGCCGGTATCATTCTCATGAAAGGCCGGCACTCCTCTGTCATCTGCTTATCACTCAACAAAGTAGGAATACTATCATACACATGTATTACACCCTTAATGAGATCGATGTGTATAGCAACCCAATGGTCTCCGTTAACATGATGGCAGAAGAGAAGGCTGTCAACATCTATTACCCACTTCTTACCGGTGACAAAATCAGCCGGGTGTTGTCCATTAAAAGCCTTGCTATACATTTCTGACAACTCATTCATGTTCTCGTCCCACTTCTTGTAGTCATTCACCCAGGAGTTGATAAACCAGCGAGACAGAAAGGCAATACGAGAAGAAGAATACGGAGACTTTTCTTGGATGGAGCGTCTGTGAAACATAAGTGTTGCTGCTGCAATGTGCTACACATTGAAAAACATGCACAATCAGCAAACTTTGTATGTTAATAATCTGCCATATAAAACAGGATATAAACTTACGTAGGCTCGCAACCAGCCGTAGTTGTCTTTAGGCCAGTCATCTCTAGGTATAATCAACTTCAAAAAAAACCCTGCGGTTGCATCTCCATAACCAGGCTCCTCTTTTTCCCTAGAAAGAAGAAAAGCTGATAAAAGACAATATCGAAAGAAGCTAAGATGGAAGAATAGAAACTTACAAATCAGCCTTGATGAAGTCCAAAACTCTCACTAATTTGTCAGCTTCCACCTTAGCTAATGGGTCATAAGCTTCACCGGTTATTATACGCTTCACTGTCGAATTCCCCACATATGGGTAAACTTGAGTCTGCGTCAACTGCGTTTTGCGTTTCTGGGAAGGATCCAAGTAAGTTGCCGCAAGCTTGTCCAACACAGCCCTACATTGTACACTCTTCTCCCACATCTGAGTTGTTTCCAAACCTGCTGTCGAAATCGATGCATCATTTAGTTGTGGGATCTCGAACGCCTTCTCTAGCTTCACCTTTTTAAGTGGTATTTGAGTTGTCCTTCCTTTCTTTTTCACTTCCTTGTTCTTAAGATCGTCCTTCTTGATAGTCTTCTTATCTATTTTCTCCTTCTTCACAACACATTGCATTGGTAGTCCATCTTTTGAACCGATCTTCTTCTGAAGGATCCATGACTGTTTTATAATAGACAATAGGAATTTGTTAAAAAAAGCCAAAAAATAGAATACAAAGATTGAAATAAATCATACCAATTCGTTGCTACTACCGCCATCATCCTCATACGCCTTAGAGTTGCCCACACCAGCAGAAATATTCACATCAGGAGATGCCACAACAACCTTGGTTTTAAGAAAATTTACTTCTTCCTCCAATCTTGCAATATTCTTCTTTAATTCAGCTTGTTGTACTTCCACTCTAGCATCCACTCTAGCATCCACTCTAGCATCTATGGTAGCTTCGATTGCTTTAATAACCTTGTCAGCTACACTAACATCGATGCTTTCTATTTTTGTTGTGAGGCCTTTCACTGACTCAACTAACCCAAGTATGATGCTGTGAGTTGTAACCTACAGTAAACAAAGACGAAAAAAATTATGTGAACAACTATATTCTACCACTCGAATTTAACAAAACAAATTGTCCTTTTTTCTCTTAGTAGAAGGACTCTCATCCACTGTATCTGGAACAGCAGGTGCCCTCGCCTGATATTTTCTTTTCACGCCCTCGGTACACGTCAGTCCATCCCAAAACCTCTCATTTAGTTGACCATTGAGGATGTCAACTATCATGTTATCCAAATCGGTATCCGGTTCATCGTTGACCCACACGGGATACCTATGGTCCATCGGCCTATTAATCATATGCCTAACACGGATCTGCAGTTTAAACCAAAAAAAATTAAAATCATGTAACTCAGATTACTGTGAGAGAGAAAATAATGTATTTACCTTCTCATGTTTTTTCTTTTCTTGTGCTATGAAATCATCGAAGTTGACACGCTGCCGAGAACCACGCCATGACAGAAGAGGAATCTCAGCTCCCTCTATCCGATGCCCATACAACTCTCCAAATCCAGGGACAGACTCGTATATCCATATGACTAAGGCATGAACACAACCATGAACTGTATAGCTATCTTTCCCCACGTAGGACACTACTTTGATGGAGTCAACAAGGCTTTTAAAAGCAATACGACCCCACGGAAAGCGATTGAAAGCTTCTATATCCATCACCCTTTTAGCACAATTCAAAGGTATCCTACTGTTGTTTGAAATCCCAAAAATCCCGATAGACAAAAGGCACAATAAACCAACCCTTATGCGCTTCTCTAAGGACCAGTTTCTGCATATCGGAAAGAGAGCTTGTAATTCAAGAAGCTTCGGTCCTTCAGCTTGAGGAACTTTCATCTCCACCCAAAACTCTTTATGATCAACATTCCAGCCATCCTTTTTGTCGAAAGGTTCACAATTGAGGCCCGTGATATCTTCAAACTCAAACAAAGAAAACCTTATCGGACTTGTTTCAAGCAAAGACCATATCTCATTCTTCTTCACTGATAGTTGATTGGTGAGAAAGTAGTGAACATACTTTGCAGACCAAGTGTAATCCAACTCCATCAGCTTGATGATCACTCCAACGGCAGATTCCCTCAACACATCCCAAGCGTCTACACCAACGGCTTCTTTAACCATCGCCACATTTGACAAGTGACAGCTATGATTCATGCTTCTGCTCTGAATTGGTGTTTTCCCAGCCTCGTATAAGCGCGGAGGATACTGTGTAATGGCCGAAGATGAAGCCATCCTACAACAAGTTCACATAGTGATATTAACAAAAGAACAGAAACTCATCTTGCTGAAACAAAAAATAAAAACGTAAATTTCAGAGGCTCGGGCCTTATTTTTCCGAATTGGGAATATGTTTTTTTTTTTAAAAAAATTGGAAATTATGGGTAAATTTTCAATTGGGAGTTAGGGTTTTTTTCAAATTGGGAATTAGGAATTTTTGAAATTGGGAATGAGTATTTTTTCGAATTGTGAATTAGGTATTTTTTTCCAAATATCCCAATAGAGAAAGAGAGAAACCCCAATTCGAAATTCAAATTTGGGAACTAGGGATTTCGATTTGGGAATTAGGGATTTTGATTTGGGAATTAGGGATTTTGATTTGGGAATTAGGGTTTTTAAATTTAACATGCAATCAATAAATCTTTGTAAGAAGAAGTGAAATCAAGAGGTAGTATACCTTAATCGACGAAGACAGAGGCGGACCACGGAGGTGAGATCGAGTTCTCACTCGTCGACAATGACAGGGACGAGCTCGTTTCTCAGTTGTGGAAAACAGATACGAGGACTATTTCCGGTGGAGTGGTCGTCGGAGTCGTCGGAGACAGTGGAGAGGTTATCGGGTCGAAACTGTCTGTCGGTTTATGTTCTGAGAAAAAGAGATGAACTTTTGTGGAGTGAAGAAGATGAAGACCAAACCCACGACAAAACTAGGAAAAATCTTCTTTTTTTAATATTTTTTTTTTTAATTTCGTTTTACTTTGTTTTTTAATTATTAATTGGTTAAGTCATGTTTTTCGGTTTATGAGGATGGAGTTTTTGGTAAATTAGTCAATCCCTTGAGTTATTCTAGTAATTATAATTTTAGAAGAGTTAGTCTAGTATTTTCGCAATTGATTTGAGTCATTATGGGTATTTTCTCTTAAAGGTAATCACAATAGTATACTAGCAGATTATATAGAATGACCAATCTGTATAATATTTAGAAAGTATGATTTTAATTTTATAAATAGTACTCATTTTTCATAATATAAACATATTTATAAACATATCTTTCACATATTTTAAAACTTTATTAATATAAATAATGATGTTGTAAGATAATAATTAATTTAGAGAATACTAAATCATAATTAATTTAAAATACAACTTTATAATAAAAATAAGCAAGACACTATATTCAAAATTGCGAGAAAAAATATACTCAACATTCAAATACCATAAGTAGAGCATCTCTCCCCCTCCCCTTTATGTTAGATCCTAAACACTACATAGTTTATATACACATGGAAATTATAGTAGTTATATTAATACAAAAATTAATAATGAAAATTTAATATATACGTTATTGTAATAGTTTAATTATGTATGAATTATGTATATATAAACATTATAAAATTGGTTGTTTCAAAATAAATTTAAACTAAATAAATATTTATTTCTAAAAAAATTTAAAATAAGAAGGAAATGCTAATATTTGACAAACAAACATCTATATACTCAATAACAAATATATAAAAATATCTAAGACTTTCCTAAAAATAAATTAGAAGATTTTTAAAATCTTTATTTGAAATTAGAAATTATCTATACTATTAAAAGAGAAGGAGTCTAAATAAATCTACTTAAAAAAGTTGTTTGGACCCTTTCATTATACTAACATTTTTTTTATCTTTCCTTATATTTCTCTAACAATATTGTACAATAACATTATATCATATAACTTACCTTATATTTCTCTAACAATAAATTAGTCAATATTCTTATTTATTATACAATACTCTNATCTATACTATTAAAAGAGAAGGAGTCTAAATAAATCTACTTAAAAAAGTTGTTTGGACCCTTTCATTATACTAACATTTTTTTTATCTTTCCTTATATTTCTCTAACAATATTGTACAATAACATTATATCATATAACTTACCTTATATTTCTCTAACAATAAATTAGTCAATATTCTTATTTATTATACAATACTCTTATCGGTCAATATTTTTATTTCTCCACAAAACATTATTATAACCTTATACCATATAATTTCATAATATGTGACTGATTTCACACATTAAACAAAAAATATATCATTTGCTTGAGCCACCAACTGTGCAACTGTACCCTCTATCATTTCCATTGATTAATTTTCATAGCTGATGTTTGATAAATAGAGAGTATAAAATATATTGAACATCTCCATTCACGATAAATATGTTTAAAACCAAACATATTATTATTTTTAGAGTAAACCTATCTATAACATAGTATATTGTAATAATACAAAAACCGGTTTATTATCATAGTATTCTAATGTTT